ACACATAATGCACGCAACACTAACAAATAAAACAAAATTTAAAAGGGACCAGAGAGTATGCAGAAAAGCATAGGAAAGCATGGCTGCCATGTCTCCCCTTTTCCAGGCTCAGCGGCATGCAGTTCTGTGGCCCCAAGCAGTAGAAAGCCAGTGAAGGCAGAGAGGTCACTTCAAGTTCAAGGCTAGCCTGGGCTACACAGCTATACTCTATCTTGAGAACAAACAGGACAAAAACAAACAAAAATTGTGAAGGAGTGACATAGCATACAGGCATCCTGTCAGGTCATCTGCCTTTGAGGATTTAGAAGGACTGGAGGGGAAGGCTGGTAGGGTGGAGTATGTTCTGGAGTTGATGAGCACATTGTTCCTTGTTCCCCAGTCAATCTGTGTGGTTAGCTCCAAGTGGAGGACAGGGCCTAAGGTCACTCGGTCAGCAGCATTCTGTACCTGACTTTTTTGCATGCAGGCTATCCTTCCCAAGGTCAAAATTAGTCTGTCCCCAGCATGACCGTCCTCAGAGCCCTTCCCCTCCCATGCTTCTGTCTTCTCCCCCTAGAGCGGAGGTGTTCCCAGCTGAAACAACAAAAGTCACCTGAGCCTCTGTCTATTCCAAAATTCCTGAAGAGCTTGCCAGCGGTGAGTCAGTGAATTGGCAGTCCTGTTCACCAAGAACCAGCCAGCCTGGCCTGGGCTGAGGATTCCTGTGAGCCAGAGCCACAGATGAGGACAGAGGAGACAAACAGAAGGAAGTCCTTCTGTGCTGTGGCTCCAGAGTTCAACCCTGCAGGCCCCATTGGATCTGTGATTCACACCCTGCAGAGAAGGTGTTTAACATCATGCACAGTGGAGCTCGTTGGAAGCTCAGCCTGGGGGCCCCTGAGGACTGCCATTCCATCTTACCTGTTCCACTGAGAGTACAAGGCAGGGCTTGTGCCAAAAGCAGGAGCATGGCTCTAGTCTCATTTGCATGGGGCCCACTTGGTTCCAGGCTTTTCAGTATGTGGGTCACAGGCAGATTCCAAGGCCATTCCCACACCTTGCTGGAATGGATTGTACCTGTCTAAGCTTGTGGTTGTGTGGACAGAGGCAGAGAAGGACACTGAGAGTCAGTATAGGCCTCAGATCCTCAACTAACCCCACTAGGAGCAAGGATGGAGTGGGGAAGCTAGCCTGGAGCAGGGCAGGACTAGGTTAGGGGCTCTCTGCTGCTGAGACTCTGCATGCATCGGCTGCAACAAGTCTTCCCCTGAAGGGAGATGTGGGTAGGTCTCCATGCCAACCTCTTCACATTTTGATTAGTTATATGGGCTCATCTGCATATTGGGCTGTGATCACCAAAGACTTCCTGTATTCTTGTTCTGTCTACCAGCTCTTCTCACGAGTTCTAAATTCATGACATCTATCTTAATTTTGGAGAAAAATAGGAAATTTGTTTCCCATTTGTGTGTGTGTGTGTGTGTGTGTGTGTGTGTTTGTGTGTAAATCAGAAAACTATCTAGCTGGCTTTGTCTGAGAGTCTATAGATAGGACTCAAAACAATGAATTTAAACAAATGAATTGATTTAATTTTTAAAATATTTCATGTATATGCAATTGTACATATGCACATACACGTCTACTATCTGAGTATGAGCATGCGTGAGGTGCATTTGTATGGTGGTCAGGAAAGAGAGAGCTGCAAGTCAGGGACCCGTATACATAGATGTTTTTACAGGAACAGGTACGATGATGAGCATGTCATTTGTATGTGTAGGTATGATTTATCCACTCGAACTACAACTGTGCCCAGTCACTGTGTTGAGAACCGGAGATCAAACATAAGTAAGCCATGGTTCCTGACTCGGGAAGCTTATCATTTAGTGAGAGGCAGAGACTGCAGCAGAAGCACCTAGACTTCAGTGGTTTGGATACGATGCTCTTTCCAAGAGCCCACATGTCGAACTCTTGACCCTTGCTGGTAGATGACTGCAGTGAGAGGGGGTCAGATCATGAGGGTTCTGACTCACCAATGAGCCCATTGATGGGCTCAGAATTTTAGAGTGTTGTTAGGGAATGATGAGAATTAGGAAGTGGGGCCTGGTCGGAGAAATTGGTTGTCAGGGACTGTGCATTTCAAGATTGTATCTGGCCCTGAGGCCCTTTTGCTCTTTTCTCATTACTTTCTGATGCCCTCGGGCAACTAGTGCTGCCCCACCTCCTGCCGTGATGCTCAGCGTCACCAAAGGCCTAGGAGCAATGCATCTTGGACTGAAACCACCATGTAAGTCTTGCCTTCCTTAACCCGTGTTTCCCAGGTGTTGTTACTGTGATGTAGAACTGACCAATGTGAGGTGAGCATGATAGCCAATACACTACAGAAACTGGCTTAGAACTGACCAGTGCAAGAATAGATGGAGGAGCGTGCTGGGTGGGTACCCAAATCAGACCACGCCGGGGCGGGCCACCCATTGAACCGAATCGTGAAGGATAAAGGAATTCCTCAGGTTAAGGGGATGTACACATGGTGCCACACAGCCATACCTCCAGCACTTGGGGAGGAGAGGCAAGAGGAACAGGAGTTCGAGATCAGCCTGGCTACGTAAGACTTTGTTTCAAAAACCCAACAACCAAACTGAAAGGACAATTAGAGGACAAGGAAGAGGTCATTGCACCCAACCCACGTAGTTCAGCAAATGAGTGCAAAGTCTCTCCACAAAGTGGCCAACATAGTGAGTCATGTTTCCACCGCAGAGGAACATTCCAGCATCAGTGTGGGGCAGGTGGAGGTGGATGGGCGGCAGAGCCCTGCTGTGTTCCTGCGTGTGTTTATGAGGATGTACACAGTTGAGTTTGTCTGTCTTTCTGCCTCTACATCTGGACTCCGCACCAGGTGTGCCGCCCCGATGGACTTGTTTTCCACTTGGCAGCCCAGGCCACTCGGAAGATGGCTGTCCTGTCGCTGACTCATGTGTGAGTGGCATGGCAGCAGTCAGCAGGTGCTTCCTGCAGGGCCACAGGCACTTGTTTGCCAATTAGGTTGCCTGTGAGCTGACTGGCAGGCAGGGAGAGAATGCTTTTCCATTTCCAGCTAGTCTTCTTGGATTGTACCACTGCAGCTGCAGAGTACCTGGTTTGTCGGATGAGGCTGGCATTGTTCACCAATGCCTACTGCAGGCCCAGACCTCAGGGGGCTGGAGAGATAGAATGAGAAGCTGGGCTTTCCTTTTTGGTTCCCCCTTCTCTGGGCACCCACTTTTCTGGTCTGAAATCATATGTTTGAACTCAGTTTTCTAAGAGTGAGCTATAACTATGCTCTATCACTTCTTGAAAAGTCACAACAAATATAAAATTATTATTTATCATATTTCTGTTACTCTATAATGAGAACCATAATAAAAAGAGGCACTTGGCTTTGTGACGTTAGACCTGGAGCAGGATGGTAAGTGGTTATGAACGTGGAATCCAGAGTCCAGATACCTGACACACTTTCAAACGAACACTTACTGGCTCAGTAAGCTACTTATTCTCTTTGTGCCTCAATTTCTTCATCCATAAGACGCCTATCTCACAGAATTACATATGTACAGTTCCTAGGATTCTCAGTTCCTAGTATACGACAAACATTCAGTGATAAACATTAAACTGAATTTATACTCTCTGTGGTCTGCCCCTACCTGACACGATGAAGACTCGTTATTGTCCTTGGTGAGTGAGGAATTGTCTGCAGGATGTCATCCAGCTTTTGCTCAAGGACAAGACTATTCCATACCAGCTCATTCTTTTCATTTGATACGGACCACCGTGTGTTAACAAGCCTGTCTCACCAAACTTCCTTTGTTAAGTAACAAGGCATATGAACCCATTAAGGTTTCTCTTGAGCCTTACAAAAATCTAGGAACGGCTCCCAGAACTTCTTGTGGAGAACTTCTGGGTCAAATAGGAACATCGCTGAGAAGCCTCTGTTCTATCCCAGCTTCAGATATGGGTACATCCAGAGCAGCACACAACATCCTGAAGGTGTTGTAGGAGAGGTGGCCAAGTGACGTGGAGTTAAAAGACACTTTACATTGACTTTTGAGATGCTCTGTGTCTCTGGTGACCAGTGTCTTTCAAGCTTATAACTGTCAGCAGCACACATCAGCCAAGCTTAGGGAAGGACTCATCAGGACTCTCTGACAGGGATTCACCTTGTGTTTTTAAAGTCTAAGAGCAAGATATGGGTAGGGAACGCCATTTCATGATCATTGGGGCTTTGATCTGATAAGTCACAAAGTACTATTTTCTATGTATGAGTTCTCTCTCTCTCCCTCCCTTTCTCTCTCTCTCTCTCTCTGTGTGTGTATGCACATGTGTGAGTGGTATAAGCTCATGGTGCTAGTGTGTCTACAGAGAACAACATTGGGTCTCTGTACCTCGTTGCATTGAGATGGCCTCTCATTAAAACTAGAGCTAGTCTGGAGGCCAAAAAACCCCAATGATCCTCCTGTGACAGCCATGCTGTAGTTACGGGCATGTGCAGTTACATAGGCTTTTATGTGAGTGTAGATTCCAGCTCAGGTCTTCATGATTGGGCAGTGAGTGCTTTTTACCTACCGAGGCTTTCAGTCTTCCAGCCCGACTCTTGCAGTTTTTATAATGCTTTTCTGATGTAGTTATTACCGTCGTAGAACAGATAATAAGATTATAGTCAGAGAAGTGATTTTTCCAAGTTCAGGTAGCTAATAATCGACACTGGCGTGTAGAACTTCTAACAAATATGAAATCATACAGTTCTTACCTACCTCAGAAGTGGTAATGGTTTCCATTTGGTGCTTAAGCACAGCAAAGCTTGGCAAATTGTGTTCAAGGTCACAGAGCTAAGACTCAGCCAAGGAGAAGCTGACTCCAAGTCTAATATTGTTTCTTTAACAGCTCTGGCAGTAGACCAGCTGTGAGATGACATTTCCCTCCTGCTTTTGGCATTTGGGTGAGCCTTGTGAAAAAGCATTATTACCTAGTGACTTTGTGAGGTGAAAACGTACCTTGGATGTCATCATTGAACATGCAGTACTTGTTGCGATATTTGTTGAGCAGACGGAAGGCATTGGCATTGGCAAAGTCTTCAAACTGGATGAGGCAATTTATTCCAAACCTGTAGGTAGGGTGGAGAGAGGGGGAAGAAAGGAGGAAAGAATGTATGATCATTACCTCCTGTACTAGATCCTGCCTGAACTAGATACAAGGGAGGCTGAGGACAAGAGGTAAAGATAGTCTGTGTACTTCCTCTTATTTTTTTTGTCTCCTGGCTTGATCAGCATCTCCTAGAAGTAGACCTTTGCCTACTCCATCATGTATGTGAATGGGAGAGTGCAGGGACTAAGGGCTTCACAGCCAACTGAGTCAACCTCACTGTATCTGATGTGGACTATGGGCTCCCTGTGAGCTACCACACAGTTGGTAGGAGTAACAGCAAGGATGAGGTGGGACCTGCCTTCTTTGCGACCTGTGGCCATCTGAGATCCAAGGAGAGAGCTCACTCTAAATGCATTAGTGAGCAGAACTGCTCTGGATCTGGGAGCCTCTGAAGCCTGCTGTCGCCATCTCCAGACCCCGAGGCTTGGAGTTGGTCCACTCCTCTATAGTCATGTGATATGTTCCAACAAGACACGAGCAAGGCTGAGAAAGGGCACCTCCTGAAGCCACTGTTATCTCGGCAAAGATGTTCCCCAAGCTCCACAGATAGACCAGTTAGTCATCTCATTAAATGTATGGACCACCAGGTCCATCACAAAAATGACACTCAGGGACTGTGGGATGAGGTTCGGGAATCTGCATTTTCAGCAAGTTGTGATTCCAAAAGCCTAGACAACTAACAAACACGGCCTTGGTGGATAAAGGCAAAGTCCAGTGAGCTGCTTGATATAACTTATTGGAAATCTATGCCTATTAGATTTCATGGTCTTGATAAAAATAATATTGGATTTATGCATGCTTTATAACGCATTTTTTTTCTGTTTAATATTTATTGCCTTCTGGGAAGCCAAGAGAGATGTTGCTAGCTCATTTGTAAGACTCCTCAACCTAAGCATTTCAATAGATTAGGCTTGATTTATTGTTGACCTTTGGTTCTGGCATTTGGCAGCTGTGGTCTCCTAAGCCTTCTTTAAGCAGTCATGGTATGAATTAGTTAGTTTATTAATACATGAATCAATGACAGTTCCCATCTCATGAGTTAACTTGTGATTTCAGGAACGTTCATTTAAAGTAAGTTCTGATGGATACACACTTGACACAGGAGTGTGGGGCGCATAACAGGGAGAGAGGGCCCGTTCTTGCCAAAGTGATGTGGACCACAGCATGAGGCCTACGTAGGCCTACTTTCCCACCTGTGGGAAGATTTATTACCTTCTAGAAAGGGTATTTGGTGGCAACTGGTGAGGCCGCTGGCTATGATGGAGTGAGCAACACTGATCTGACCCAGAAAATACCATTTCAACCTCGTCTCTCTGAGCATGGCTTATCCCGTTGGATAGAAATGCCAGTGACTGGGTAAGCCTGTGCTCCTTCTGCATGTTTTCCAGAGTATTAGTCAGAGTTGCTGGTGAGGTATTAGGAGATGGGTTCACGTCACAGAGCCCTGAGCAGAGTGCGGCCACTGGGCCATTCCAGTGCTAAAGAAGCCTGAGTCTCTTGGGCCTAGCCTGCGTCTCCACACACAACTGAGTGACCCCGCACATGTTACTTCACCTTCTGTCCTGCCAAAGCTTTCCATTTTTTTTCCCAACATGCACAATTCTATCTTCCATGTCAACTTCTGCGGGTTCTTGTAAGGATTACATGATGAGGGTGATTTTTTTTTTCAGTGTTACGGAGGTATAACTGATGAATAAAAAAATGTCTGTATTAAAGCATACAACATTTATGATCTGAAATTTGTATACATTGTGAAATAATTGCCATAAGTGGGCTTGCTGACATATCTGTGACCATAATGGTTATTGCTGTGTGTGTGGTCTAAGTCCTTAAGGTCTAGTCTCTTAGCAAATTTCAATTATACAATATAGCACTATTAGCTATAGCCAACAGGTGCTTTTTAAACTGCAAAGTGCTAAGCCCAAGTGTCATTCTGGCCACAATTTTTATTCACACTTTTGGAGTAAGTACTGCTGAGGTGGTTAGAGCCTCTTTGTACCTCTTAACTGATCACCCAGGCTTCTTTTCCTTTTATATGAGTTTTCAAGAGGAGACTAGTCACAAATGGTTTAAATGGAGTTGTAGTAGTCCCCAGTGTGAGAGAGAACACAGCCTTGTAAGGCTGTAGGAAAAGTAGTGGCCCCAGGGGAAAGCTGAATTTTAGCCAGGCCAGGCCAGGCCAGGCCAGGCCAGGGAACAGAGTATTGGAATGTAGGAGAATTTTTAATTCACCAATCTAGCTCCAGAGGGCTCTTAGAAAAGGAAAGAAGGTGAGGTGTAAGGGATTGGATTGGATGATGGAAAGCATACAGCACTGGCTTTGAGCTTCAACGTGACCCTCAGAAAACTTAATGATTTCTCCATATGAAGCTCAATGTGACGGTGGTAGAGAGGTCTACGAAATGTTTCTCTTTGCGTTCCCTTGCCATATTTTTTTTATAGTTCTTAGAAAGAGTTTCATAATTTTTTTCAATAATGCGATCCATGTGTGGTGGTTTGAATAACAATGGCTCCCATAGGCCCATAGGGAGTGGCAATATTAGGAGGTTGTGGTCTTGTTGGAGTGGGTGTGGCCTTGTTGGAGGAAGTGTGTCACTATGGGGTTAGGCTTTGAGGTCTTATATGCTCAAGCTACACCCAGTGTGTGTCACAGTCTCCTTCTGCTGCCTTTGGATGAAGATGTAGAACCCTCTGCTCCTTCTCCAGCACCATGTCTGCCTCTACTCTGCCATGTTTCCTGACATGATGATAATGCACCAAACCCCTGAAACTGTAGGCTAATCCCAATGAAATATTTTCCTTTACTTAAGAGTTTCCATAGTCATGGTATCTCTTCAAAGGAATAGGAAGCCTAACAAGACACCATGGTTTACTCTTCTGTTAATGAGCAGCACTATGCAGTACCCAACACATTGTAGGTTCCTTGGTAATATGTTAGCCCTTTATATCTGTAGATTGTGCACTTACGGACTCAACCAATCCTACACTGAAAATGTTTTAAAAGATAGAATATGTACAGGTTCCTTTCTTGTCATTAGTTATTAAAGAAGAGTATAAAGTGACAATGACTTATGCAACATTTACAATGTATAAGCTATGATAAATAATATACAAATGACACTTCTATAGACAGAGTATGTAGATTATATTACATAAGGGATTTGGCCATTCACCACTTCGGTATCCATAGGAGTTCCAGAATAAATCTCCCTTGGGTACTGAAGGAAAATTGCCCCATGATTAGAAATAATAAATAAAACTGCCCACTCATAAATATAATGTTATGCCTGTCAAGCTAAAATTTACTGTGAATATTTTTTGTTCAGGTTATGAACTGAAAGTATTTGGACTGGGAGTAAGGAACAGAATGTCTTGACATTTTATTATACATAAGAATTTCAGTGCTGTTTCACAGCTAGCCCGGGGCTGAAATTCTGAATAATTTAGACAACAAAACAACGGATATGTGTAGATCCTTCCATCACATATTAATATATACTCATACACTTGACCTTGAAGCAACACGGCCACCCATTTCCTAAGGCAACAAGAAGGCAAAAATTATAAGTATCTTTATTCAGTGTATTACTATTTCCCGTTTCATTTAATTTTACATAAGAATTTCCCCTTGGTCCAATGGAATATAGAACAAAACTCCAACAATTTAGGCTAATCTAATTCTGACTTGGAATTGCATGAAAAGCCACTTGGACCCAATAGGCTGACAGTTCCTAGCGCTTCAGGACTCTCACAAGTCGACCCTTCTTTGGACACGCATCCCAAAGGAAGTGTCCAGGTCCAGGAAGCCCCAGTTCTGGGGTTTACGCACCGCCCCTCCAGTCTCTGAGGAAAGCTCTTCTCTCCACTTCTACCCACCCTCTCTTCTACTCTTGCATGTATCTGCTCTTTCTCTCCACAGTGACCTGGGAGTCTTGAACTATGTTATCCTAATCCCGCAGCCTCCCCTGTATGGCTCTTTCAAACCAACAGTGAGTCAGGAACCATTCACCCATCCATCCACCCACCCATCCAGTATTCTTCTTCTTCTTGAGACTCACTGAAAACCTGTGATCTCCAGGCCCTTGTCTTTTTCCTTTCGCTTTTCCACGAGACTCCCTATGCACCACCCAATGTTTGGCTGTGAGTCTCAGCATCTGTTTTGAGGCGTTGCTGGGTAGAGCCTCTCAGAGGACATCTCTAATAGGCTCTTGTCTACAGGCTTAGCCTAGTATTATTTTTAGTGTCAGGGGTTGGCCCTCTCCAATAGGGTGGGTCCTTGGTTGATCCAGGCATTGGTTGGGAACTCCCTCAGTCTCTGCTCTATCTTTACCCCTGTACATCTTGTAGGCAGGGTAAATTTGGGTCAAAGTTTTGTGGGTGGGTTGGGGTTCGCCTCCCTCTTCTAGGAGACTTGTCTAGTTAGAGGGTGTTCTCTTCTGTCTCTATGGCCTCTGCTAGTAGGAGTCTCTGCTTGAGTTCCTCTCATATTCTCCTAGGAGCCTACCCTGACTTAGGTTTCCAGCTTGTCACAGAGATACCCCCAACTTCTGTTTCTCTTTTCTCTACAGGCCTTCTGTCCTCTCACCCCCGCCCTCCTCAGGTCTGATTTCCAACCCTCATATTTCTCTTCACCCCCTCTCCTAACTCATTTCCTCTCTTTGACCTCTTCTTCTGTCTATTCTATTTCTGCTCCTGAGTGAAATTCATGCATCTTCAATTGGGCCCTCCTTGTTACTTGTCTTCTCTGGGTCTGTGCCTTGTAGTATGTTTATCCTGTACTGTATGTCTAATATCTGCTTATAAGTGAGCATATACCATGAGTGTCTTTCTGCTTCTGGGTTACCTCATATTGGATGATCTTTTCTAGTTCCATCCATTTTCTTGAAAATATCATGATTTCTTTGTTTTTAGTAGCTGAGTAGAGTAGTATTCCATTGTGTAAATGTGCCACAGTTTCTT